AGAGATTATCTTCAGATTTCATCCCGCCCATCAGGATTAATCTTTGTTTGCAAAAAACAATGTAATTAATGCATGGTAGAGAAAAATAACAAAGGGGGGTTCAAGACGTAAATCCTGAATAACGTCTTGAAACCAAAGGAGGGTTCGAGTTGAAAACCTGAAAAGACGGCTTGAATATAAAAATTGTGCAACTGAGGCGATCACACAAATTCCTTGATACGACATCACACAACCCGAGTGTGACCACGAAGGTTGGGAGTCAGAGAACACTTCCAGTAGAGGAGCATGCAAGCTACCCCATCAAACCGTTGAGCATCAAATGCCAAACCTATGAGCATCAAATGCCAAACCTTTGACCAAACATAATAACCTGAGATTTTTTTATCATTTCCTTACTTAACCACTTCCCAAAAATAGCTTTGATCTTGGCACTTGCCAAATAGCTATAATTCATTGAAAGATTAACAATATAATTAATTCTTTGATATCCGATGAACTCTAGTTTATGATTCGTCTCAATTGTAAAATCGTGAAAGTGACAATATTTTTAAAACTTTGGATCAAACATTTTTCAAAACTCTTTTAATTGATATTTTCATAACTTTGAAACTAAAAGAGAAAGAAAAACATTTTTTCAAACAATACAGTCTCTCTAGAGTGGATCTTGGAAAATGACATGTGACTTTTAGACACAAAACTCATGCTCAGAATCAATACTGAAGCAAGAAATGAGGAACATTTAGGGCATCGTTGAAGATTCAACATTAAATATTGGGGCATTTTTGGATTCAACATCCTAATGCAAATTATCAGACATTTTTCAGGAGATAAAATATAACCAATTCATGTTACATGCATCTTATGCATACATTTTAGAGCATCATATTTATCATTTTCCACATACATATTTTTTTTAAAGCTTTTAGAGTCAAGTTTCGACTTCAAGACGAAGGATACTCAATTCAAAAGAACCTTTAAAGATTCATGTTGGTTGCTTAACTCAGCAGCAAGAAGCTACACTTCGACCAACTCGACAGATTGAAAGGTCGACATTCATATTCAGATTCGACATTTCCAATAAAAATTTTGTCTCGCTTGAGACATTCTCATTTAATGCAGATGATTATCTCCCTTGAGATTGCTTTTCTTAAAACATACTTTGTCTCACTTGAGACTGTTTCACTCGAAAGAAGGCATTTAATTTCACTCAAGATTGTTTTTAAAGAAGATTTTATCTCGCTTGAGATAGTTTCACTTGAAACAAAAAAATTTCTCCCTTGAGACAGTTTCTCTTGAACCATAAACATTGAACACATTTCCCTTGAAATAAATTTCGTCTCTCTTAGATAGTTTCCCTTGAAACAAATTTTGTCTCTCTTGAGACAGTTTCCCTTAAAACAAATTTTGTCTCTCTTGAGACAGTTTCCCTTGAAACAAAATATTTGAATATGTTTTCTTTGAAACAAATTTTGTCTCCCTTGAGACAATTTCTTTTGGAACCAAGTTTTGTCTCTCTTGAGACAGTTTCTCTTGAAATAAATTCCGTCTCTCTTGAGATAGTTTCCCTTGAAATAAAATCTTCGAATTTATTTCCCCTAAAACAAATTTTGTCTCCCTTGAAACAGTTTATCTTGAAACACAAAATCTTCGAATTTATTTCCCTTAAAACAAAATTTTGTTTCCCTTGAGACCGTTTCTCATGAAACAACAGATACATTTGAGATCGTTTCCCTTGAAACGAATTCTATCTCTTTCGAGACAACTTCTCTTGAAGCATCATCTGAACCTTTACACTCAGCTCATGCACATACTTGAGATGGTCGAGAAGCATTTCTCAAATCAAAAATAGAATGTGCACATCAGATTTGAACATTTAAAGAATTCAAGATCAGAGATCAGAGCTTGAAGATTCAAGAATCAAGATTCCAGAAAGGAAACCGGAGATCGAGATTTCTCTCCAGGGCCCAAAAATAACATATGTTGCATATGCATTTTACATTGCATCCATCTCATCACATATATGCATAACTTTGCAGGTTCTAGCTAGAGCCAATTTCAACTTCACAGCGAAGGATATTGGACTCCAGACAACGCAAGTTCAACTTCACGACGAAGGGACCGCTGGTTGTCAATCAACAAAATTTCATTCAGAGTCAATTTCAACTTCACAACGAAGGATATTGGACTCCAGACAACGCAAGTTCAACTTCACGACGAAGGGACCGCTGGTTGTCAACAAACAACTTCTCAATTTCAGAGCCAATTTCAACTTCACAACGAAGGATATTGGACTCTAGACAACGCAAGTTCAACTTCACGACGAAGGGACCGCTGATTGTCAAAAAACAACTTCTCAATTTCAGAGCCAATTTCAACTTCACAACGAAGGATATTGGACTCCAGACAACGCAAGTTCAACTTCACGACGAAGGGACCGCTGGTTGTCAAAAAATAACTTCTCAATTTCAGAGCCAATTTCAACTTCACAACGAAGGATATTAGACTCCAGACAACGCAAGTTCAACTTCACGACGAAGGGACCGCTGGTTGTCAACAAATAACTTCTCAATTTCAGAGCCAATTTCAACTTCACAACGAAGGATATTGGACTCTAGACAACGCAAGTTCAACTTCACGACGAAGGGACCGCTGGTTTTCAATCAACAAAATTTCATTCAGAGTCAATTTCAACTTCACAACGAAGGATATTGGACTCCAGACAACGCAAGTTCAACTTCACGACGAAGGGACCACTGGTTGTCAACAAACAACTTCTCAATTTCAGAGTCAATTTAAACTTCACAACGAAGGATATTGGACTTCAGACAACGCAAGTTCAACTTCACGACGAAGGGACTGCTGGTTGTCAACAAACAACTTTTCAATTTCAGAGTCAATTTCAACTTCACAACGAAGGATATTGGACTCCAGACAACGCAAGTTCAACTTCACGACGAAGAGACCGCTGGTTGTCAACAAACAACTTCTCAATTTCAGAGTTAATTTCAACTTCACAACGAAGGATATTGGACTCCAGACAACGCAAGTTCAACTTCACGACGAAGGGACCGCTGGTTGTCAACAAATAACTTCTCAATTTCAGAGCCAATTTCAACTTCACAACGAAGGATATTGGACTCCAGACAACGCAAGTTCAACTTCACGACGAAGGGACCGCTGGTTGTCAACAAATAACTTCTCAATTTCAGAGCCAATTTCAACTTCACAACGAAGGATATTAGACTCAAGACAACACAAGTTCAACTTCACAACTAAGGGACGACTGGTTTTCAACAAACAATTTTCCAGTTCCAAATCCAGTTTCAACTTCACAGTGGAGGATATTGGACTCGGAGCAATGGAACTTACCTTGGATTTCAACTTCATGACGAAGAATGTCCAATTCCAGGCTCGACTTCGCGGCGGAGGGGCTATCCGCAACTCAAATCGACAGGGAGTTATTCTTCAACTCCATTGAACGAAAATTTGTATCCTTCTATCTTTGTCCTATTTTTCGTTCCACGAAAAAGGACAAAGAGGGGCAGCTGTAGACACTAATTTTCACCTAACAACTATATCCCCGGAATTCTCGGCACTAAATCAGCAAGGATGATTTTTTAGTTCGAATAGAACTCTAAAACTGAAGCATTTGAGTCCAAATGAGACTCTAAATCTATCTAAAAATAGCCAATCACTTGGCTATTTAAACACATATAAATCAACAAGAAAAAGGGGGGCACAAAGAGAAAAACACAAAAGGGGTGCCACGTGAATATCAGCTTCTTCTCTCTTTGATTGTAAAAGGCTCTTATCTTTTAATATCTAAAATGGTCGAGGTTAATGAAAGCGATAGAAGCAAGAGCGAAGATCAAAACACCGATTGAAAGATAATGACGAGGTTTTAGAGGAAGACGAAGAGGAAGAAAGCTGGAAGCAGGGGCACGACTAAGGGAATCAATACCGTTATCTTCTTATTCTCTTACGCCGCCATGAACCAGCAATCGTAGCTCGCTCTCATCTGGGGACACGACCCGGCTCCATTCAAAACCCAAGTTTCCCACGTGATTTTGTCATTGAATGAGCAACGGTCTCACACCCAGGCATTGTTAATCTATGCAAGCAATCCTACCCCGATGCCCTATGCCTCCGCCTCGCGTATATCCTCCAAGCCTGCAATCAACCCAAGGCTCGTGCCATGGTCGCTATTCTCCTCCCCGAGCTTGCTTCTAGTATTTTGCCGGAGAATGGATGGCCAGAGCTCTTGCCGTTTATGTTTCAGATCTATTTCCAGCAATGATGAGTTCCAGTGGACGGAGACTTACGAGAAGGACCGTCGACCGTGCCACTCCGAAGAAGACTCAAACAAACCGATACTGTTGAGGAGCTGAGGCGATGTAGCGGTGATCTTGCAGTCGCTTTTCTGGGAATATGCAAAATGTACAACCAAGGAGAGGGGCCCATGTTTGTTTGACATATATCATATATGGAAAATGAATATAAAAGCCATTATTTGGCTTTTAGTTGCGTGAGTTTAAACAAAAACCCATGCTTTTGAACTTTGGGTAAATTCAACATATGGTCATTCATCTATTATGGGATCTTACTTCTTTTGTTTATTACTTTCCATTTTTTAATTTTTATTTTATTTTTCCTTTTGGTTTATTTAATATTTCTTATCTAACATTTTTTACTTGTTAGGGGAATTTTTTTAATCGATCAAGGTAATTATTCGAATCGATGTTTTAAATTTAAATTTTTAATTTTCGCTACTAAAGACAACCGGCAAATTAATTGGTACCGAAAGGGCGGTTCAAGGGTGCTAATCCTTCATTGTCCGTAACCGACTCCCGAATCCGACACATCTTTGGTAAAACGCAGATCAGGTAAGAAGCAAGGTATCTGATCTACCTATTTGTTTTAAAATAAAAGATCGGTGGTGACTCCAATCCACATTTTTCAAGTCAAAACCTAATTTCGGGCCCCAACCGAAAGACGGTTACGACAGGTAGCAGGGAAACTTGGTGCATAGTTTAGTTTTGATGTCAGGGCTCTTCCACAAGAGTTTAAAGTTCGACCTCGGGAGAAACCAGACCATGAGTTTGCTATTTGTGGCCTATACGCATTTGAAACATCTTGACCCTGTAGGACAGAATTAAAAAAGAAAGACGAGGAGATGATATTGTGAAGCAAAAGTAAAAATGTTTCGACAAGAACTCACCTGGAAAGCGAGGCGAGGGCTATGGAGCATCTGCATGAGAAGGCGGATGCCATTTTTGCGGTTGAATAGTGAAAAAGAAAATGCTTATGTTCTTGAGGGAGGCTAAAAAAAGGCGGTTAGTGCGTCTTCGGCCTCGGAGAGGAGTTTTTATAGCAGTTGACGACAGTGGATGAATCTAGTTCGATATATAGATATCACGCCATTAAACAGAGAAGAGAAGTACGTTGTATAGGCTGGCGTCGCTTGATTTGCATCCTCGTTTTCTCCGGAAAATCTTCAAGTTATCCGCCGCACGGCCCACGCCTTCGGGGGTTTGTTCTTCTGAGCTTGTCACGTGGGCTTTTGGGTAATGATATTTTAAGCTATTATCAATTTAAATATAATTAAATTAAATCTTAGCTTTTTTAAATATTTGCTAAATTTATGTTCTTTTTTAAAAAAAATAATTTAATCTCTCAATGCTTTTCAAGGGATTTCAATTTATGTTTTGGTAATGATATTTTAAGTTATTTAAATATTAATCAAATTCTTGTTTTGTCCTTTTATTTTCTCAAGGGAACAAAGTTGATGAATTGAACTCAGCACGTTTTGTGGAGAAAACCCAAAACAAAGTTTGCATCAACCATGATGAATAAAATTTAGAAACTCTCTTCACTTCATTGCTTATCAATAGGGTCAGATTATTATTTTTTTAATAGTAATAGGGTCATATTAGTGTTCATCATTTAGGGCGACTATAAATTATGGTAGAAATAAATTTAATTTAATTTATTTGTACAACTATTCTTAAACAACGATACTAATAAATTTAGATTTAAATTGAAATAATTATGACCCTTCATCTATCTTAAGTTATAATATTTATAAAAGAAAAGTATTATAAAAATAAACATTCACGTGATATTAAAGTGTGCTTTAAAAGGAATAAAAATAAAAATGTTAATCAACAATATAACGATGATGATTCATAATAGTTTAGGTAGAGAAAAACTGTGGAAGATCAATAATTTGGTTGATTTGGTGGTTTATCCTTTCTGATATGACGAACGAGTTAGAACTCGAGTCAAGTTTATTCCTTTTTTTATTAAGTTGGGGTTAGTACATGATAGTATTTTTTTAAAGATAACTTTCAACCTCTTGATATTGAACGCTCATACTCCTAACATTCTCAGTAAATCTGGACCTTCAAAAAATAACAATAATTTCTTATCACAAAAATCACTTAGTTCGTACAAGTCAAGTTCTTTCTCTAATGAAAGAAAAAGGATATTTATCTAATATAGACTTGGAGACACATGTAATGTGATCATATAAGAGAGAAATATTTTTTTCTCTTGACGTACCTTGTGTAAATTGTGATAGATTAACTTTAATATATTAATTTTTTTTCTTTCAGTTTCAAGACTTCGTCCTGATTAATCTGGATCGACCCGGGTCGCATACATGATTTTGGTGGGTGCATCTCCCAACGGAGATATTTTGCATACACAAAGACTCGAATTGAGACATTGTTTAAGCGATATCAATCTGCTTACCCCGTTGGTCTAGCATATTAGTTGTTTCATAAGAAAATATATGTTTTTTTTAATTTATTCTTTCTTTTTATGTTCATAAGCTTTGAATCCACTGTTATGAATCAAAATAGTGTAGTTGCTCCGGAATGACATAGGGAAAAAAGGGATACGATAAAAAAACATAAGCCGAAGTGAACAACGTCAATGTTGTCTTATTATTGCCAAAACACCGTAATGTAATATACCATAATGGCATAATCATGCTGTCTGCAAGATAAAAATCCTTCGGATGCAACAAATCCATTATAAAACATAAGAACCTCTAACAAAATGCTTTATCTCATTTTATTTGATTAATATTATCACAACTTAATCGTCGTGATCCATGACAACATGTTTGTCAAAACCTATGACCTTTTGGCAAGTTATACCAACTAACACGTAACCCCAATATATATATATATATATATTAAAATCCCCCACTTTGATCAGAATCTGTGCTCAAAATTTTCAACCACTTTATATAATTTATTTATTTCTTAATGTCAAGTGAGTGTTGAAAGTTATATTATAATATTATGTCAGTATGCACGTTTGAACTAAACAAAACAAATAATGGAAGAAAACAAATGATGATGTTGATAATAAAACTTAATAAAATAATTGTAGTGGATTTAGTCGAGTTTAGTTCGTCAACTATGCAAGGATACAGAGGGGTATGAATTCGGCATCCTTGATGCAGCTCTTTACTTAGATTATTGTGAAATTAAATTAATTTGATATGTTTTCACGTGATATGTTGATAATTTTTAGAACTTTTGTTTAGAAAAGGGTAAATCACATTTTGATGGTCATTTGACCTTTTATAACACTTTCACTTTGGTCATTAAACTTTTGAAATTTATATTACAGTCACTAAACTTTCAATTCACTTTTATTATGACCACTTTCATTAGCTATCGTTAAAAAGTTGGCATGGCACATTAAAGAAACCCTATGCTTCTTTTTCCAAATGGGCGGTCGACGTTCCTCCTTTCGTCGTCGTCGTTGTTGTCGACATTCTTCCAATAACCATCCACAAGCACAATCCTCAATAGCAACAAACAATTAAAAACAACAACAAATATAAGTAAAGAAATTAAGAAAAAAAAATGAGAATAAGAAAAACTACCCTTCTCAACTTTGACAAGTTTTCGACGAATGGAGTTGTTATTGTCAATCCCAATAGCGATTTGGCCAAAAGCTTAACATAATTCATGTTTAAAATTGATCTAACAGTTGACAGTGGTTTATCATAAAATCATATATTTTAGTTTCAATTAAAATTTGAAAAGATTAGAGGTTTTTTCTATCGGAAAATAGTTGAACGACGACATAAATAACGGTGAAAATAAGAGTAACGACTACCAGTTTAGAAGAAGAAACTTAGGGTTTTTTTTTTGAAGTGTTATGTCAATTTTTTAATGATAGCTAATGACAATGATTGTAATAAAAGTGAATTGAATCTAAGTTTTGCTAGAAGTGATTGAGATCTTATGTCCTTGGTTCAACTCCTTCTAACTCTCTCCTTTATATTTTCATTTATTTTCTAGTAAGATGATAATTACATAAATAAAATATTTTGTTAAAATCTTAACAAAAATTGATCATAACTCAACGGTTGAGGGTTATTAATATCTAAACTCCCAAGTTTGATTCATGTTGGGTCTATTTTAACATTTTATTTCTTTTCTTCATCTGGATGGTTTGGGTCCATACTTATATCATTAAAAGTAACTCTTTTTAGAATTTGTCATCCTCAAGATTTTAGCTGGATTTGAAATGGGTTATTGCAGATTCGTCCGAGGGTGGTTCAAATTCAGGGCCTGTTGGGAATAAAGTTTTCCTCTACTGGAAGGTTTGGAAAGAGTTGAGGGTGAAGAAAGAAAGAGTCCCTTAGGAGAGACTTGTATGACACTCTGGTCACATTCCTAAGTTTTCTGTCATTGCTTGGATGACAATCTTAAATAGGTTGCCTACTAGGGATAGACTTAAATCGTTTGGTATGTTTGTGAATGGGATTTGTTATCTTTGTTAACTGACCAAAAATCTAGGGACCATTTATTTTTTGGTTGTAGTTATTATAAGGCTGTGTAGGAGGACGTCTTCCTTTGTATTCTACAAAGGAGGGCACTGGATTCTTCTTTTTTTATATAGGGAAAAAAATAGTAGGATGACCAAAATGTAAACATAAAAAAGTGGGTGTCAAATAGGTAGTTTTCCTTTTATTTTTATCTTTTTCAATTTTAACCCTCCAAACCATTTGAAAACCCCAAGAAAGAGACCGTGTCGATGAACTGAACTTGATTCTTCTTCGTCAAAAACCAAATCCCAAATTTTTTTCTTATTGTTCTTTTAATTTATCGCTCTATACTAATACCTGCATTTCCTCTCACCCTTCCTTTTCTTCTCCTCAAACCTGCCCTCCATTTCCATTCACCACCACTCCGTTTAAGTCACAATATATATATAATATTGTAAGTGTTATGTATTTTAAATACAAGAAATCCATGTATTTTCATAAAATTATGTCTTGATTTTAGAACAATTGTTTTATGGTTGCATGATTCAGTCACGGGAGGAAAGGTGGTGTGTCAATCTGGGTTTTGGTGTTTTAATTTATAACAAGGGGCACTTTGTCCAACACCAAAACAAAATAAAATCTTAAATTTTGGGTGTTTTTGTTTTTTATCTGATGTGTTCCTTTTACTGTCCATTTGCTCCTCCAGTAGATCTGGTTTGCTAGCTATGTTCCATCCGCTGGTTTATTCATGCTTCAGCTCCCACTCTTTAAGGTCAGATCGTCGAATTTTTCCCTCTTTCTACTTCCTCTTATGCCGTTAATCATACCTTTTTGAAATCCGATTTTCTAGGGAGGAATTGGTTTCTGTTAATTTTAGCTGCGAAGTTACTGACTTTTAGGATGCTAAGTTATCAGAATAGTGATAGGGTGGTTAAAGGGTTTATTGGGCTTTGGGGTTTTGGTTTGAGTTCTTTTGTTTTGCATTTGCTTTTGGTGCAAAGCCATAGAAACCCTCCCTACCAGAGGTTTTAATCCTTTGCGGGTTCTTAATATATAAAAGAGAAATGGGTAATGGGACTTCTCGTGTTGTTGGTTGTTTTGTGCCTTTCAATGGGAAAAAGGGAGTTGAATTAGATTTTCTAGAGCCCTTGGATGAAGGCATAGGCCATTCATTTTGTTATGTTAGGCCTCCGGTTTTCGAGTCTCCTGCCATTACTCCATCAAACTCTGAGAGGTTTACTCTTGATTCAAGCACCCTTGATTCTGAGACCTTAAGTGGGTCATTTAGACATGATACCATGGAGGATTCCTTAGGACTACAAAGACAGAGTAAGAGTTTTCGAGAAACCACATTTAGGACCATTTCTGGTGCGTCTGTTAGTGCTAATGTTTCTACAGCTAGAACTGGAAATCAGATTGCAATGTTTGCTACTGATGTCCAAGAGCCTGCTGCATCATTTGAGAGTACCTCCTTATTTGCTGCAATCCCTTTGCAGCCTGTTCCTCGTGGTTCTGGTCCCCTGAATGGGTTCCTGTCTGGACCTCTTGAGAGAGGGTTTG